TTTCCTCTTATTTACTATAGATTAAAATTTGTGTCTAAATTTTCTATCACATGTCCCACACGTTCTGATAGAGATGCTTGAAGATCTACCTAAGAAAGGAAAATTTAAGATTTTCTTGGAGTCATAGCAAAAAGATGTTTTATAAGGTTAATATTAATAGAAAACATAATAAAATGTACTAAAGATGTAAATTAAAGGGTTTCTGGATTCATAAAAAAAATTAATTACCTGGATGACTATCTGGCCACTTGGCAAATCCCCCTACTAGGCGATCTTGAGTTGATAAGATGTAATTTCTATTTTTCTCAAAGTTAGTGTATTGGAATATTTTCAGAAGCTGAAATGACAAATACAAATTTACTGATATCAAACGTTTATATTGTTCTTTAATTCCAAATTCAGATAAGTATCATTTGCATAATTACATAATATACATATATAACTAAAGCTCTCAGAGCAAGTCTCTGGGGCCCTGGCACTTAAAATTAGCCAATTAGTCAACCACATTATTGCATTTTCGTATCATGTTACCAAATCTACTGTCTTTTTCTTGACCGACTCAACATCTCTTTCTGTTGAGCTAGGACCAAATAAGATTTTGTGCTTTTTAAAAAACTGGGCTTAAACCACGTTTCCTCAGTCTGCTCAATTCAGTCAGCCAATTTTTAAAAGGTACAATTGTATTAACTCATATTTTGATTCTTATTATAGACTCTCCACCTATTAGAGACAGGGTCCAAAAATATTGCAAAAGATAGCAACCAAAATTATTAAAAAGAGAACTTTGTTTGAGAAGAGTAACATATTGTTGCTCTTTCTTTATGGAAGATAAAATGTGAGAGAAGATATGGTAATATAAAAAAGTATCTAGTTGGTGCATTTGTCTTTACTCCCAAGCTCCCTCTAAAAAAGAAACAAGAGTTATACATCAAACCATGGGGAAAGCAAATAAGGGTGAGTAGAAGGTAGACAAAAGAAATCGGCAAATCGCTGTGATTCAATCAAATTGCTGTAGTGTAATCAGAGACCCAAGGAAGTTTCAGGCCAGAATACACAGCAGGAAATCCATAGAAGCGTAGTTCTAGGCCATGAGTTTATGGAAAACAAGAGTTGTTGTTTTTCCTACCCCCATTTGCCTGATGGTTAAAGGACCCTTCTCTTCATATTTATTTTTATTATTTATTTATTTTATTTTTT